AGGAGGGTCAGAGGGAGAAGCAGACTCCCTGCCGAGCAGGGAGCCCGATGCGGGACTCGATCCCGGGACTCCAGGATCATGACCTGAGCCGAAGGCAGCCGCTTAACCAACTGAGCCACCCAGGCGCCCCAATACTCTAATCTTTCTGAGTCCCAATAATGAATTTCTAAATTCTAGTCTTCATTCACTCATGCAATAAATATATATCAAGCAACTATCATGTGCCACTATGTGCTAGACACTGGTGATGTAACAATAAAGGAAGCTGAAAGAATTTCTTTATTCAGGGAGTTTAAGATCTTTTAACTAGCACTAAATGAAAGAATTTTTTTATATGAAAAGGTAGAGAATTAACTGCTATATAATAAAAAGCACAGGTAACACTATTTATGTAATAATACAAAAAGTATTTGAAAAAGTGATCTGAATCAGTGAGTATGTTGTTCTATCATATTCAAATTATCAAAAATAAAAGTATTTTAACTGAAAAAAAAAAACTACTTTAACCTTTTTTTCTGTACTTTCTCCCTGCTTAGACAGTTACTGAAAATGATTAATGGGAATAGCAGGAGTATGTGCATAGGTGAGTAAGCAGGTAAACAGGTAGTACTTCAAACCTAGCTTTTCCAAAGCAAAGGCAATATATATATCATATAACAGTAAGTGTAAACATAGAAACAATTTTAAAATGTATAGAAACACATTCCAGGCTAAAAAGCAACCAGTGTGAAATACAAAAATGGAAGGGAGTAACATATGTTCTTCCAATAGCAGTCCAAGTAAGCTAGCGCATAGTCTGTTTTGGAAAATCTTGAGAAAAGATTTAAAGAAATAAGATGTGACCAAATTTTGGAAAGACTTGAATGTCAAGATAAGCAATTTGAAATTCATTTGTTAGTAACTGGGAGAATCATAGAAAATCTCCATATGTTATAATAATACTGATAAAAGAAATGCTTTAAATATGAATAATATGAAGAAATTTGATAAAATCCTAAAGGAAGGGAGGCTGGTTAAAAAGCTAATACAATGAATGATGAGACTGTCAACTAAGGTAAGCTATAGAAAGTAAGTGAACATCCCTCCTAACCTTTCTCATGTTATTCAACTGTCTGCCTTTTAAGTGTGAAAGGAAAGGAAAAGGAAAGGTTAAGGGGTGCCTGGGTGGCTCAGCTGGGCGTCTGCCTGTGGCTCTGGTCATGATCCTGGAGTCCTGGGATTGAGCCCCGCGTCAGGTTCCCTGCTCAGCAGGGAGTCTGTTTCTCCCTCTGCCCCTCACCCTGCTCATGCTCTCTCTCAAATAAATAAATAAAATTAAAAAAAAAAAAAAGAAAGGAAAGGTAAATTTAGCCTCACTTTTTTCAAAACTGATGAAAAATAATTTTGAGTTGCTGATCTAAGACTGTTTTAAATATAATTATAATGGATCAATGTCACAACTGAAATAACATCAGTTCAATCTGTATTGACTTAAAGCATGTCAATTATTTTTGTTTGATGCACCCTAAATTAAAAAGAATGTGAACAATTCCACCTTGCCAGCAGTAATCCCAATACCTTGAGACATAAATATACAGTAATAAAAAGTTGCTATCTTTACTATTAATTTCAGTTACAATAAATACCTGTTTTCAATTATGAGGTAGTGAAATATAGCTGCAGTTTCTTCAGGCTGGATATGTATGAGAGGTAACAAAGCTACTATCACATGACTGAGAAGGGAACCAAGATAAGCATGATCCAGGCAACGAACAAAACAATCCCAAGCTCTATGTGAAAAAATAAATAAGTTAAAAGTCACATTGTTTTTATTATTTGTAAAGCCCCATCAGTGAGTTATCAGCTACAACAATATATACAAATAATACATACATACAAATAATAAAGGCAAACAACAATACAAATAATAAGGTTACAATGCAGCTGTAAAAACAGAATAAAGATCAGTACTCTATATGCAAAGAGAGTGATCTCTCTAATGTATTAAGTCAAAAAAAGTAAGGTAAAAAACAGTGGTTATAATATGCTACCTTTTGGGGCAAGGTTAATACAAAAATAAGTGTGTGTATTTATACTTTTTTATTTTATTTTTTTAAGATTTTATTTATTTATTTGACAGAGAGAGACACAGCGAGAGAGGGAACACAAGCAGGGGGAGTGGGAGAGGGAGAAGCAGGCCTCCCGCTGAGCAGGGAGCCCCATGTGGGGCTCCATCCCAGGACCCTGGGGTCATGACCTGAGCCGAAGGCAGACGCTTAACGACTGAGCCACCCACGTGCCCCAATTTGTTTATACTTTTAAAAAGGGGAGTATTATACAAAAATTAAGAAAAATAGATACTTATAGTTAGAAATGAAATCTAGATTCACAAATTTGAATTTCAGACAATGTTTATGTTTTATATGAATTTAAAATTAAAGACGGAAAAAGCAACCTCTAAAAATTTTAAACAAACTAGTGGCACCTGGGTGGCTCAGTCGGTTAAGCGTCTGAATTCGGCTCAGGTCATGATCTCAAGGTCCTAGGATTGAGCCCTGCTCTGTGTTCAGCGGGGAGTCTGCTTGTCACTCTTACGCCCTCCCTGCTGCTCATACTCTGTCTCTCTCTCAAATAAATAAATAAATCCTTTAAAAAAATTTTAAACAAACCGAAACAACTGAACCTAAATGAGTATCACGTTGGTGACAGAAAAGAATTACTTCACATGACTTTAAAACATATTATTCTGGGGCGCCTGGGTGGCTCAGTTGTTAAGTGTCTGCCTTCGGCTCAGGTCATGATCCCAGATTCCTGGGATCGACCCCAGGTTGGGCTCCCTGCTCCGCAGGAAGCCTGCTTCTCCCCCTCCCACTCTCCCTGCTTGTGTTCCCTCTCTCGCTGTGTCTCTCTCTGTCAAATAAATAAATAAAATCTTTAAAAAAACAAACAAATAAAACATATTATTCTGACACTCCATCTCTAATAAGTACAGTCTAAGGACAAAAAAGACCTCTGAAAAAAAAACAAAAATACATAGGTAAATAAACAAATAAATAAAACAAAAAAAGGACCTTCAAGAAGCTTAAACTGCATTCAGTAGTCTGTTAGAAGTAATACTAAAATTATATTAAATTAGGAATCCTACATGCCAAAATCTCAATGGCTTGAAAGAAGTGTGGGGAAGGGTCTTAAGGACTGAATCTGTTTGTAAGAGATTATATTTAAGGGGCCAAACAACCAAATGTGTGACATGTGCACGTTATTTTATTCTGACTCAAATCAACATTTTTGGGGAAAAAAATCTTTGAGACAATTGGGGAAATCTGAATAACGGACTGAGTTTTAGATGATATTAAGAAATTCCTATTAATTCTGCTAAGTATAATAATTCATGATGGTTGTATTTTTTTAAATGCCTTATCCATTAGATAAATCTGAGGTATTTACAACTGCAATGATTTGATACTGGGGTTTTCTCTAAAACATTCCAACTAACAATAAAATAGGTGGAGGTGGTCAGATTAAGATTAGCAATGTTGATAACTGTTGAGGTTGGAAAATAGGTATGGAGGGGTTCATTATACTATTTTATTTCCCAGTATGTTAAAAGATTTCATACTAGTATGTCTTTGAAGAAGTAAACATATTCCCTTTCAATACAAATATCCTTTCCATCTTAATTATTTACAGCCTGAATCCCTCAAAGAGATAAGAATTCAAGTTAATGCTACTGGGAAACGCAAAAATTCTAATGAACTTAGGCAGTCAATTACCTGCAACACAATTCAGGAAAATCATCCTTGAATCTCAGGCCAGTTCTTAGCGTGGTCATCATCTTCACCCTCACAGAACTGACATGTTTTGGTCCCATCAACTTCATCAAAGACATCAAACTGTTCAAAGCCTATAAAGTAAGTAGGGCTTTAAAATAAAGCCTATAAACAAGTCAGCAGGAGTAGATGAGCCCTAAGGAAAAGATCCCACCCACATCTCAGAGTAGTATCTATTCTCTGGCAACACAATGTCTAAATGTTGGTCAGTTTGTTTTGTCCAAATTCTTATGTAAGAATTACGAATTGGAAAAATATAAGCTGAGTTCTGGTCTGTTTTTTTCTTGTGAAGGTAATTTGTTATTTTTGTCCTGGCAGTGCTCTAGAATAGTAATTTTCAAATTTATTAAGAATATAATACCTATTGTTTAATTTTCTTCATATTCATCCCAAACTATTATGTAGCACATGTATTTTTGTCCTAATGGTACTAATTTCAAGATGCTCTGAATTTAGTAAAACAAATTTAGAAAAACAAAACTGATGACATACCCAGAAAATTATGTACACATTTTATTGTGGAACACAGAATCGGACTTGTATCAACAGCTCCAGGTTCTAATGAAAGGATAAAGAAACTCTCTAGACAACCTTAACTATGTACCAAAACATACAAGCTTTTTATGGTTTAAAACACAAACTATAGTTTTCTTAGATTGAAGGTCATTCTCTCACTCTGGATAATGATAAGAAAGATTCCATGGAGATGAAACAGAAGTTGTCTGGAGGATTAAATTTACCAGGTGACACCAAGAGAATAAGTATTGGCTGTGGAAGTAGAGTTTAATATTGTACCATGTCCTGGCTCCTTAAGGTTATTAAAAGAAGAAGAGTACAGACTGAAATAAAAGCTTCTACTCAGATTTTTTTCTGTAATTTTACTGACTGCAGATATGGAAAGCAATAAAAAGGGAAATTTAATCAGTATCTAAAATTCTCTCCTAATCTACGGACAGAAACTTCTAGTGGTGACCAACTGTTACAGTAGTCATAATGAAACTTCATTGTGCCAAACACATTTAAACATAAACTAACAAATACTGAAGTTACTTGGCTTTATATAACCTAACATTTTTGGTTTTCAAAAACACCATGGGCCATGACTCACAACATACCAGTGTGGACCAATGAACTCAATTATGCAACTTTTGTTGAGCCATCAGAGATGCTAGTCTCTTTTTTTCCCGCTGAGCTAGATGGTATGAGGACATGAGCCTGAAGCCCTTGGGGTCATCACCTGGCACTTATGTATAGGGCCAATCCAGGGGCATTTGAGCTAAGAGATGAATTCTGAGAACACTGTGTCCAAAATAAAGTTATGCCCAAAGCTATATTATTCTTACACTTTTAGTCACAAAGCCAATAAAGTCTTCTAAGCCAGTTTGGGTTAAAACTGGCTTTATAAACAAACAAAAACTGTAAGTGATATAATTCCTCTTTTTAGATTCCCCCAAAGCTTATAAAGGGATAGAGAGATTCAGAATATCATATGTTTGATTATTTCTTATGGTTTAAATATTTTTTTAAATAAATATTTTATTTTGAAAAAATGCACAATTAATGACAAAAATAAACAAAATTACCAAGGTACTCTAGGGAAGAGGCTACATTTGCATCCCAAACTGCATGCAAACCAGCACAGGGATTACTACAGTGGAAAACTCCAATAAAGACCAGTCCTGAAAGGACCAAGCAGAACACCAAAGTATGAAAAGAGCCAGGCTTCTTGATAAGGAGTCTGCTAACTATATATATTTATTTCTTACCTTTGAATGTTTGTAGCTACAAGCAGAAGTCATGTCTCCTATAAATTCTATATGAATTCTAGAACTTTGCAACTTAATATCACTACCTACCATTTTCTTATCTTCAATGCCAACACTGGAGCTCAGTAACTGCATGTTAAAAAAGGCCAAAATGCCCAACAACTTAGGTTGCAAATAATCAGCCTAATGAAAAAAAAACACATAAAACAGATATTATGTAAGTTTTATACAGACTGAACTTCATAAATCAACTATTTAACTAACATCATTTCTATATGACCTATGTTAAGTTATTAGAATAAGCACTTGGTGGATTTTCTCTAAAGTATATATTCTCACATCTAGTATTTTAAAAATTAGTGAAACTAGAATGGGAGAAGATATTTGCAAATGACATATCAGATAAAGGGCTAGTATCCAAAATCTATAAAGAACTTCTTAAACTCAACACCCAACAAATGATCCAATCAAGAAATGGGCAGAAGATATGAACAAACATTTTTCCAAAGAAGACATCCAAATGGCCAACAGACACATGAAAAAGTGTTCAACATCGCTCGGCATCAGGGAAATCCAAATCAAAACCTCAATGAGATATCACCTCACACCAGTCAGAATGGCTAAAATTAACAAGTCAGGAAACGACAGATGTTGGAGGGGACGCAGAGAAAGGGGAACCTCCTACACTGTTGGTGGGAATGCAAGCTGGTGCAGCCACTCTGGAAAACAGTATGGAAGTTGCTCAAAAAGTTGAAAATAGAGCTATCATATGATACAGCAATTGCACTACTGGGTATTTACCCCAAAGATACAAATGTAAGGATCTGAAGAGGTACGTGCACCCCGATGTTTATAGCAGCAATGTCCACAATAGCCAAACTGTGGAAAGAGCTAAGACATCCATCGACAGATGAATGGATAAAGAAGATGTGGTATACATATACAATGGAATATTAGGCAGCCATCAAAAGGAATGAAATCTTGCCATTTGCAACGATGTGGATAGAACTGGAGAGTGTTATGCTGAGCGAAATAAATCAATCAGAGAAAGACATGTATCATATGACCTCACTGATATGAGGAATTCTTAATCTCAGGAAACAAACTGAGGGTTGCTGGAGTGGTAGGGGGTGGGAGGGATGGGGTGGCTGGGTGATAGACATTGGGGAGGGTATGTGCTATGGTGAGCACTGTGAATTGTGCAAGACTGTTGAATCATAGATTTGTACCTCTGAGACAAATAATACATTATATGTTAGAAAAAAAAAAAAGAAGATAGCAGGAGGGGAAGAATGAAGGGGGGGATATCGGAGGGGGAGATGAACCATGAGAGACGATGGACTCTGAGAAACAAACTGAGGGTTCTGGGCGGGGGGATGGATTAACCTGGTGATGGGTATTAAAGAGGGCACATATTGAATGGAGCACTGGGTGTTATATGCAAACAATGAATCATGGAACACTACATCAAAAACTAATGATGTAATGTATGGTGATTAACATAATAAAAAAAAGTAAAAAAAAATTAGTGATTTATAATCACCATGACAAAATATGATTAAACAGTACTCTACAGTGAGAAAATCATGAGCTTTTGAACTATGAAGTGTGCTAGGGGTGAGATCCTCAGGATCTGACTCACAGAAGGACCCAGAATGAAAAGGATATTTAATCTTAAGGAGAAGAACAGAAAAAGAAAGTGACTGTCCTTATCTAGAACATTCAGAGTCAAGGTGGGGAAAAAAGTACTTAAATACGGAAAAAATAACCTGCAGAACAATAGGTCTGACACAGGGGTCAATATCCCCTGAGGTAACAGTGGTAGAGGGGTACAGGCCATGGGCATCAACAGTTATAGATTAGGTATCACTGACCATGGCACTTTGGGTCTCCTGAAGTGAACAGGATTAATTCTTTCTTATAAGAGGGTCCTAGAGGAAAGGGTATGGGCTTTAAGTCAGCCAAACCTGGGTTTGAATCCTGATTTTGACCTACCCAGTGTGTGATGCTGGGTAAGTTACTTATCTCCTCTGAGTCTGTAAAATGAAAAGACTTATTGCACAGAGATGTTATAGAGATTAAATAAGATAACATGCATTAAACACTAAGAAAATAGTAAAGTACTGCTTTTGCTATAGGGGCCACTGAGAAGCAGCAGCCACGGCTCTGCACGACTCTATGGCCAAGGGCCTCAACAAGGGCCACAAGGTGACTAAGAACATGAACAAACCAAAGTAAAGAAGCTGCTGCAGGCACCTCATCAAGCACATCAAGTTTGTGCAGACATGATATGAGAGGTGTGTGGCTTCACCCCATATGGCAGCATGCAACGGAGCTGCTCAAGGTCTCCAAGGACAAGCACACCCTCAAGTTCATCAAGAAAAGGATGGGGACACACATCCGTGCCAAGAGGAAGAGAAAGGAGCTGAGCAATGTCCTGGCAGCCATGACGAAAGCAGCAGCCAAGAAGGACTGAACCCCTCTCCTCTGTATGTAATAAAGCCTTTTTTGGAACTTGGGGGAGAAAAGAATATAGTAAAGTGTTACATTTAAGTTGTTAATATTATTACAAAATGGGAATGTGAGTACTCTGCAAAGAAGAATATTCAAAATATTTATGTATGGACAAGGAAGGGGCAAGGATACTGGGGCACCTGGGTGGCTCAGTCGGTTAAGCGACTGCCTTCGGCTCAGGTCATGATCCTGGGGTTCTGGGATCAAGGCCCGCATCGGACTCCTTGCTCTGTGGGGAGCCTGCTTCTCCCTCTCTCCCTCTCTCTCTCGCTCACTCTTTCTCTCAAATAAATAAAATATTAAAAAAATAAAATAAAGGATAAAGTAGACAAAGTAGAGAAAAAGAGCCAATAAAGACTGAGTAGACAGTAAAAAAAAAAAAAAGTGTGGTATGACAGAAGTCACAAGGGAAGGGATGGTCAGTTGTACTGAATACCACTGAGAGGTTAAATAAGATAGGAAAAGAGAAGTAGTTAGTATGTTGTGCCAAACAGGTAGTTGGGAGTAGAAGTTTTTTAACTCTAGTTAAAAAGTAGTGAAGAAAAATTAATTTGAACATTTTTACCCAGTGAAAAAATAAAATCTATAATCATTTCAAAACACATATTTTTCAATATATACCTTGCTGTGACCATATAATTTAAATCATCAACCTTTTCAAAATAAAAATCCTAATTTGAAATTTAAATAAATCTCTAGCATTTGGAAGATGCATACAATACCTGTTTCTCCAATCTCACAATTAAGCTACAAAAAGGCAAAAACAAACAAACAAAAAGCCCATGAAACATTCCTTACCATTAATTCGGGTGATGTGATCTCTCTGGGGCCCTGATATGGATCATCACTAGATGCAAATGAGGCAAGTATTGACAAACCATTGAAAACCTGTTGATAGTGCTCTCCAATACGTAGCAATAATTCATTATGCAATCCTTGGAAATCTTGCCTCAATAGACTCCCCAGTTCAATTTCTGTTTCATTCTAATCCAAAGATACATTAAAAAAATAGTAGTAACAGGCTCTTGGAAGCAAGTATCTTGATTTTAACATACTATTAGTAAATCAGGAGTTTTAGATCATCTGACAAGATTTACTAATGGTATTTTTAAAAGGTATTAGAAAAGGATTTTAATCTCAGTTTCTCCCAGCAGGTCTCCCATGGGCTACAGGTAATGAAGAAAAGTGATTAGACTATTTTCAAATAAAATTTTAAAAAGGAAGTCCCAGTTTTCTTAAAATATCATCAACTCATTATTCTTAGATACATAATCCCTGGGAGAAAATATAGTATAGTGGCTTAGAGCAGTCTTTCTGGTCAAACTGTTTGAATTTAAATTCCAACTTTGTCACTTATTACTTCTGCTGTGACCTGGACAAGTTACCTAATCTGACCTCTCTCTGCCTTAGCTTTCTCAATTATAAAATGGAAAAATAACAGCATCTTTATCTCATTGGATAACTACTAAGGACTAAGTGAAATGATCCATATAAATTGTTTAGTAAAGTTCTGACATGTAGGAAAATATTATCATTCTACCTCTACAATATAGATTTTCTTTCTCAAAATGAATAAACATACTCAATATTCAATAATTCTCATGTGGAAAGAAATCTATTGCTACCATATTTGAAACACATGAAATAAATTAACATCAGAGAAAACAGTAGTCACATATATGTATCTGACAGTTTCTCCTGTTCCTACATAGTCTTGTATTTTTTCAAAGATATTGTTACGGGGGTGCCTGGCAGTCCCAGTCGTTTAAGTATCCAACTCTTGATTTCGGCTCAGGTAATGATCTCAGGGTCTTGGAATCGAGCCCCGCACCCCACGTTGGACTCCACACTCAGCAGCAGGGAGTCTGCTTGTCCCTCTGCTCCGCCCCACTGCACATGCTTGCACGAACTCTCTCCCTCTCAAATAAATAAATAAAATCTTAAAAAAAAAAAAAGATTCTCTCTTCCTTGTCCCTCCCCATGTGTGTTCGCGCTCTCTAAAAAAATTAATTAAAAAAAAAAATCATTGCTAGTATGACACCAAAAAAGAAGTATAAGCTATAATTTTAAATTTTAAAAAACAAGCAAAATACTGGCCCAAATTGTAATCAGAGCACTAAGTAACTAAACAAAACACTAGCATTATGCTATAGTTGAGATTGCCTCTTCCTGTAAATATAATTACTTGCATATCAGTCAACTTACAGCTCCAATCAAAAAATTCATTTTTTAAAAAAGATTTTATTTATTTGAGAGAGAGAGAGTGAGCATGAGCGGGGAGGAGGAGGAGAAGCAGGCTTCCCACTGAGCAGTGAGCCCGATGGAAGGCTCAATCCCAGGAGCCCAGGACCTGAGCAGATATCGACTGAGCCATCAAGTGCCCCTCCAATCAAAAAATTCTAAAATGAGGGGCGCCTGGGTGACTCAGTCGTTAAGCATCTGCCTTCGGTTCAGGTCATGATCCCAAGGTCCTGGAATTGAGCCCCGCATTGGGTTCCCTGCTTGGCAGGAAGCCTGCTTCTCCCTCTCTCACTCGCCCTGCCTGTGTTCCCTCTCTCACTGTGTCTCTCTGAGAAATAAATAAAATCTTAAAAAAAAAAAAATTCTAAAATGAGGGGTGTCTGGTTGGCTCACTTGGAAGAACATGTGACTCTTGATCTTGGGGGTGTGAGTTGAGCCCCACAATGGGTGTAGAGACTACAAAAAAAAAAAAGCTAAAAAAAAAATTCTAAAATGAAATGAGTTGAGAACCTGATCCACGAATGGATGATTATCATATGCCATTATGGTGAAATGATCAAAGAAAATAACAAATGAATAATTCTATTTAATATGCTCCTCTAGGCCCAAAATAAAGCTTATTTTGCATGATACTATTTGCACTTATATTACTCTAGAATAAGCTATAAATTACTCACTCTCCTTCCTACAATAATGTTACAACAGCTTTCCTATAATGCTAATTTAAACAAAAGAGTAAAATACACACAAACACACAATTACCTTCAGATAATGAAGGGCACGTTCTAACTCATCCTTGGAACAGGAACAGACCAAATGAGAAAAAATATATTTGAAGTTATTTATTAAAATCTCTCTACGATTGACATTTAATTGTTTTCCTAAAGTTCGAATGAGAGCAGAAGCTGCAGGGCTTGCTTTGGCAGCAAGGTCAGGTAGCAGAACTTGTAATGTCCTCTGAAAAAGAAACACTACAATTACTAAAAAGTACATTTGTCCAGGTAATAACATATTCACATAAGTTATGTGCAAAAATATTTTAAAATGCCAAACAAATCTGGAGTCCATATGTACTTAAATTCAGATTTACCATTTATTCACTCAACAGATATTTACTGAGCATCTACATGATTCAGGCACTACAGGTATAGAAGCAAAAAAATGGCCAAGGTCCCTGATAGCAGAGTTCACACTGTAGCTAATGTATATGCTAGTACATAAGTAAAGAAGATAACTTTTCATGAGTATGTGTTAAAGTATACTCATGCTCTTAGGCAGAATTTCCAAGTTTGATTTATTATTTGGGCTAACTTGGATTTAGACAACAAGCAAGAGTAACCATAAATACAGTATTTTAAGTTGTTTTTTTTTTAATTAAAAAGTTCATGCTTCAATATTAATAAAACCATTTTAACATACTCACCATCCCAACATGGCAAAAAAAATCTGTTTTGATTTTGGTCTATTTCCTTTAAGATCTTATTCATTAAATATATATAAAATTCCAAACATAAAATGGTTGGCCTTTCATTTATTCATTCAACATGTATCTAAAAAACACCTACTACATGTCAGTCACTATACTAGGCACGGGAGATGTAATAGTAAACTAGCCTCAGCCCTGCCCTCAGAGATGCTTATACCTTACTTGTTTAATACCTTTCAATTTAATATTGAAATGAAGCTATTTTAAGACTGATTTAACATAAGATAGTCTACAAAATATTAAAAATTATTATATTAATGGTTTGTTCTATAACCTAAATATTAGACATTTAGTTTCTTTTCAGGGTTTTGTTTAGTTTTGCTACTTGGAAAATGTTGCAATAAACACCTGCACTTTTGGTTCCCAGAGTGAAATTACTGAATGAAAAGATAAGAGTATCTTTATGATCCTTACTATAACTATCATATTTCCTTCCAGGATTTGACCAATTTACAAGCAATTTTAAGTTTGTTTAAAACACAGTAATATTGTAGGGAGAAATACTCAGTTCTGACAGTGTGAATCATTATTATAATTTATTAAGGATAATTATAACTTTGCCCTTGCGAAAAGGTAGTAAGATAATCTACTCCATCCATCTTTCAAATCTCAACCCACTGACATTTCAAAGGCTTCCCAAACCACTCCATACTACAAACTCTGTAATCTGAATTCACAGGAGATCATATATATCAATAGTTTTGTACTATATTACTCTAACTCCTTAGGGATAAAAATGATATAAGACTGTGCATTACCAATGGAACCAATCATAGCACTAAAGACATAAGGGCTCAGTCAACTGAATTAGTTAGCATTAATCAATTAGTATTAACTTTTCAGGATAACTAACCATATAAAGCAATAACTCAAATTAACATGAACTTAAATTTTATAACAAATAAAGTCAAAAGAAAACATGTAAATCTGAAAATCCAGGATCTATATGCTCCTCAATGTACTTGCCAGATTTTCCTTAAACAAGACTAGAATGGAATAAACACAAAATTGAAAACCTCAATTAAGTCAACTACACCTTGCAACTTACAGTAAGGAAACGATTAAGATCAGGAAAGTCAAAAACATTGGCAATTTCAGACAAGGTATTTAAAGCCATTTCTCTCTGGTGAGCCACATCTTGTTTCCTCATCTCAGCATTCTGGCATGGAGTACTAGGAAGTGCTGTCATCTGACTGGAATGGAGGGATTCTACTAAAAACTAGAGCAAAACAATTTGTTAATTTTCATACAAGGAAGGAAATTTAACAAATACTCTCTAAGCTAACATAAAGAACATTATCAGTGCTCTAAACACATTACCTGAATTAGCTCATTCAATTTTTGTTTAACAACCTTAATGAGGTAGATTATGTCATAATCTCCCTTTTACAAATGGAGAAACCATGTTAAGAAATTTAAATTTACACCACTAACAGGGCAAAGCCAGTATTTTAACATATCCTAACTTTTCAACCATGAATTGAATCAACCTTTTTAAAAACAAAGTGCCTTATCCACAATATTAAAAAAGTTTATCATCACTAAAAGGCTAAAAAAGCATTTCTTAATAGATCAACAACAGAGCATAATACGTCAATATATTATCATAAGATGATTTTTCCCCTCCCATTTATAATATATATCTCCAGACCAAGATCATAAAATGTAAAACTGGTAAGATCTAGGTTCTCTTATTAAATAAACTGAATACATCATTTAAAAAATATATCCTTTAAGGGCGCCTGGGTGGCTCAGTGGGTTAAGTGTCTGCCTTCAGCTCAGGTCATGATTCTCAGGGTCCTGGGATCGAGCACCACATCAGTCCCTTGCTCAGAGGGGAATCTGCTTCTCCCTGTGTCCCTCCCCCACTCATGTGTGTGCGTGCTCTCTCTCTCTCAAATAAATAAATAAAATTAAAATATATATATATATCCTTTAAAGCAAGACAAATAAAAAAAAAATATATATATATGGCTTTTTTTTTTTAAACTCTTGCAAAGTACTGCTATTTCCTATAGTCAAGGCCAATTCTGACTCTCACCTGACAGATGGGTTTCTTATACTGGCTGAAAAAGTTTTGCAGTTTAACACTCTTAGCTGCAACCAGAGCTCTGATTTCTGTATATGCTGCTCCAGAGACAGATGCTGACTTCGATAATAAACAATGCAATAAATGCAAAAGTGCAAAAGGTACCAAATCTCCTTTTGCTGCCCTAAAATTAAAAAAAGTTATCATCAATGTCTCAAATATAAATGGGAATTCATAAAAAAATACATGTTGATAACACATTTCTTTCTATATTATATCTGTCCCACCACCATTTCTAACACAAAGCAAACAAAAAAGGAAGTATACAAATGCTGCCAAATATACCTTCCAATATCCCCTGTTGTAAGAATCAAGGTATCCTTCAACTCATTATTTCTTGAGATTTGAGCATGTGTATATGCTTCCTTCATTCTTAAGACAAAAAGCTAGAATAATAAAATTAACTAGTTAAAGAATTTTTTAGAGCCAGGTTAATGAAGATACAAATGTTTAAAAATAAAAACTATCAACCTCTTTTATAAATCCATCTTCAGAGTCCAAGGATTCCAATATATGCTTGATATTTCCACTAAAAGCCACTCTAACATCCTTGTCTGGATCTTCCATTAAATTTAATAAAGTTCCAAGAACTGTTTTCACATCTGTTTCATCTTCTCTAAAATCAAGGTGCTTACAAAGGTGATATAGATTATCTATGAAAGCTAAAGGGTGAGAGCATATAATACCTAATTTAACACATCAAATATCAAAGTTTTACAGTAAAAAATCAATAAACAATTTACAAAGATTTCTAACTTGCTTTATAATGTCAATATTTAAATTAGAGCACACAGATTTGTGGAAGATTAAATTGAATACTTACAAATTTAAATTTACTTTATACTTAATAAAAGTTATAAATAATCTGAATCTAAAATAAATTCTAGATTTTTTTAAGTTATAAAATGACTAGTCACTTAGATTTTGTAGATCATATTTTACCAAGACAGACTTAAAAGCACATTTCACTAATCCGGGGTGCCTGGGTGGCTCAGTCAGTTAAGCATCTGACTCTTGATTTTGACTCAGGTCATGACCTCAGGGTTGTGAGATCGAGCCCCGCATTGGGCTCCATGCTGGTGTGGAGCCTGACTGAGATTCTCCCACCCTCTGTCCCTCTCCACCCTCTTAGAAAAAAGAAAAAAAGCACATTTCACTAATCCAAAGAACTGTGAACAGTTTTAAGGGCAATCTTAGCCTTACTGTTAATCTTACATTACAAGATTCAGGGAGCCCTAGAAACTACCTATTACATATTATCTTGAAAACTTGAGAACAAGTTGCAATTTACTACCCAAACAAATGGATCTTACAAGTATTTATGTAAATCTCATGCTCTCAACATACTCATATATTACCACTGGAAAAGTGGCTAAGAAGATACAGCCTATATATAGTCCTCAACTGGGCAAAGTATCTAATTATTTGAAGTTCTGAAGGTCCAAGATAGTGGCAGGGGACAAATTAAGAAGGTCCTGGTATCACTAAAGAGGATACAGAATATTGAACCTCATGATACTGAACTAAACACCAGGTATCCCCAAGTAAGCTATCATATAGAATGAGCATTTAAAAATCCAAAAATTACTTCCCTTGTTAGTTCTGTGATACAGTCTAATACCAGATATCCCATTTATAAGTAATCATTACATGACCATTGAATCAAGCATGTCTAATTTTTTAAGGCTTCAAGCCTATTCTATCACTGATTTTTAAAAAAAGAGGTTAAAAAGGTTTTAAAGTAGGGTGCCTGGGTGGCTCAGTTGGTTAAATGTCTGCCTTCGGCTCAGGTCATGATCCTAGGGTCCTGGGATCAAGCCCCATGCCAGGCTCCCTGCTCATCAGGGAATCTGCTTTTCCCTCTCCCTTTGCCCCTCCCCCCGACTCATACATGTGCTCTCTCTCTCAAATAAATAAGTAAAATCTTTAAAAAAAAAAAAAAGGTTCTAAAGTATTAGATCATAACAAATCACTCACCAAGTTTCACTGGACTAGGTATTTTTTTTTTCAGTAGGAAAAGGAAAGGCTTGCAAACAGAAGCTTTTAGTTGAGAAGATGAACATTCGTGTTCAGAAGTGACTTTTAGGCTTTTACAGAAGAGGTCAATATGTCCATGTTCAGAGAAAGGTTCTGTTAAAGAACTTGTCAAATAAAACATGCCATGAAGCGTACACACAAGTTGACCAAGAATAGAGGCAAATTCTTTCTTGACAATGTCAGAATCATCTTTGACTTTATCTCTGGGGAGAAAAAAGAAAAGGTACTAACTAAACTTCACTTTATTTTGTGGTCTAAATAGTTTTGCTTAATTTGGGGCAAAAGTAATGGTAAGACAGCCTAGAAGGAAGAAAATTTAAATTCTAAAACTAAAATCAACATTTGCTCTATATAACCAGCAATATACATATATTTACATATAGTACGATTTTTCCAATCAAGTTATATATTCAAATTAAAATAATGATACATACATAAGAATCTTGGGCACTCTGTTACATGAATTCTGCTGCTGCAATAAGATAAAAAATCCATTAACACAACTAGCCCGGATTACTTCATGGGAGCTCTGTAGGGCCCAGCTATAAATTGCTGTTCTCCATTCAAGGAATATTCTTCTTGGAAACAACGTTAGAAGAAACACACACCGTGACTGTGCCTGTGGTGCTGAAAAAATTAAGTCTATTAAACAAGATTTTTAAGTGTTAACTTTATTTATATATGTATACAAACATATTCATTTTATATATGTATTCATTCTTTGTTGTAAAGTAACATTTAAAATACATGTAACATTTAATTAAAAGCTCCTTTTTCAAAAATAAAGCATGTGCACTGAAAAAGGTCTATGTACAATCTTACTGGATAACCAGAGAAATGCAACTAAAAATCACACCCATCAGAGAGCAAAAAAATAATTTCTTTTAGTTACCTCAACACCTTTTTTTTTGATAGCAAACATTTTAAAGTCTGACAAAGTGAGGATGTGAGACAACAGGAACTCTCATATTCTGCTAAGAGGAATGTAAACTGGAATGGCATCTTTGGAGAACAGTGTTGCAGAATAGAGCAGGGGATGTGCAAATCCTACAATCTGTTCAATTTGTTACTTCTTAGAAATCTAACTCCTTTTTGAATTGTTAAAAATGTACCTCCTTATATGCAAACCATGAGTCATGAAACACTACATCAAAAACTAATGATATGGGCGCCTGGGTGGCTCAGTTGGTTAAGCGACTGCCTTCAGCTCAGGTCATGATCCTGGAGTCCCTGGATCGAGTCCCGCATCAGGCTCCCTGCTTGGCGGGGAGTCTGCTTCTCCCTCTGACCCTCCCCCCTCTCATGTGCTCTCTCTCATTCTCTCTTTCTCAAATAAATAAATAAAATCTTAATAAATAAATAAATAAATAAAACCACCTTTAAAAAACAAAAAAACTAATGATATAATGTATGGTGATTAACATAATAAAATAAAATTTTAGAAAATGTACCTCCTCTTTTAATTATTGAAAAAAACAGCAACATGTTAGAAATCCCACATAGAGATGAGTTAAACCACACACACAGAATTTTGTGACCACTTACAGTAGCTATCTGAAATCTTCTGGCTTAATGCTAAAAGATTAGTGGCAAATGTGGTCAACTTTAAAGAGCCATCATCAGAATGGGAATGAATCCATGGAAGTGAGAGCATTCCACATAAATCTTCCAGAATATGATCTTCAAAAGAAGTTTTCACTACATAAACACACAACAGGGGATTAATTATATCTTTTTCCTTAATCATATTTACCTATATCTTTTTTTCAATAAAAATAAATGTCCTAAACATCAGGTGGAATTACAGCATTTAATAAACAAAGGTTCTTAATATAGAGATGATGTTCTGAGGTCTGTGAACCCAAAGAAATTAAATGTGACTTTATAAAAATATGCATCCATGTATTTTTTAGAAGGATCAAAAGCATTCTTCAGAAAGTCTCAAAAAAATTTAATAGTTATAAATCACTTCTATTGGCTGAAAAATAATAAGTCAAAATATTACAGACAAATTTGGAACTTAGAAATTACTGAGTTAATTACTGAATTATTGAAATAGAACTGAAATAGAACGAGAACTAAAATCAAGAAAAAACTGTTGGGTATTCCAAACATTTGTGCATTTAGGCCTCACGCAAAAGAGAGCCTATTTCTATACTGATGATCTTTAAAAGTTATTTTGTTCTACTGTTTATTTATACTCACCATGAATATAAATCAGAGCATCATATATTTTCACCACTTTATCAATAATTGCCTCCAGGTCAGGCTTCTGAACAGATTCTAACAAACTCCTACAGCTCTTAAGCACTTTTGTGTAAAAATCCAAAGACATCCAAGTTATCTCTACTGAAGGTTTCTTCTTACATTTCTGTTGACAGTCCTTGAAATTATGGCTGCAGCTAAAACATTTTTAAGACACAGAATTACAATGAATTTTGTTATTCCAACCTAATATTGAAGTAAGCCAAAAAAAACTGTGAGTATAAAACTAACATAAATTTAAACTAATTCAAAGTAAATATGCACATCAATTAGTATGACATTATTATTTTAAGTTCAAACTATTTATGTCAGTCTAAATCACTCTTAGGATTTGGTAATTAAAATTAATCTAGGATATTCAAATGTGGTATCACCCAGGCTTAAAAATGACAGAAGATATCCCTGCATAATTATTAACTGCCTCAGTAAACCCTTTCTTAATAATAGAGGAGTAGACTGCAGGCTAATCAGCTATTTCTTCAAGTTGTCTCAAATTCCAAATTTAATGCAGCCTGAATTAATATAGTTTCTTTAAAATCTCCTTCATAACTTTTTATTGGCTAGTTATGAGTCAGAAAATAACAGAATAAATGATCATGTAAAAAACTGAGCTTTGGTCTATAACTTGACAGTAAAAATAAGACTAAATCTTCAGAGAAGATTCACACTTGTTTCTTCTGATAGAATAATTAACCTAAATTAAGAATACCAAACTGAAAAGATAATTCTAATGAGTTCTAAATCCCTACTCTTATTATCAAAGGGAAATATTCTTTTGACTAAATGTTTGACTAAAACATCGGCTTTTGAGTTATATAAAAATGTGCTCTGCTACTTTCTAATCATGTATACCCAGGAAAGTTAGTTTAGGCTTCAGACAAAAACAGTCTTGTTAGAGGAAGTAATCAAGAGGATGACCACCAGTTGACCCTCAAGCTGGACCCAGGCCATCAGAGGCTCCTCACCCCTTCCCCTGTCCTTGGAATGTACACTCTGCCTAAAGATCCCCACAGTGGGAGCTGTTCCAAGGACACAGCCTTGAGAGTAAGGTGTTGTTGAGACCATCTGGACTGAATACATGACTTAACCTCATTAAGTCCTCCAAATAAACCTCTAAGATTCTGGAAAGTGAGTTGAGAGATCAATTTATCTTTCACAGCCGCCTGAGACAAACCTTGTAAGTAAGTTCCCTTATAAAACCTGCCACCTACCAATCTGGAGTGGTCTGCCTCTTTCTTCAGTCTCTCCTTGCCCTGTGCATATAGGACCAATTTAGAAACCAATAAGCCTCAATTTCTCTAAGCCTCAATCTCTACTTTGTAAAGTAGGTATAACAGCATTTAACTTACAGAACTGTTATGAAGATTAAATAAAATATGTATAGTACTTAATACAGTACCTAGCATTTAGCAGGTGCTCAATAAAAAACAAATTATCTTTTCCATTTCACTGAAAAGTCTGTGTTCTAAGGTCACACAAATTGAGCAAATAATGAAGTCTCCTAAAGCAATAAAGCCAAATTTATTACAGACAACCCACACAAAAAATACAAGTTGTTTTACCAGTCCATGTTTTGATGAGAACAATGAACAGTACACAGAGCAGTCAGCTGTAGGACAACAGTGATTCCTTCTAAAGTTGCAATAACAGGATTCTTTAGACTACCATATTCAAGGAAAATCTGAAGGGACTCAGCTTTCTGTTTCAGGGCACTCCATAATATGCTCTTTTTGTTCATATCCACATGTTTAATTCTGTAATTAATTATAACCATAATATAAAGATATTCATATTTAATATAAATTTGGTTAATATAAAATTGGTTCAATTAAAATAACTTTCAGGGCTAACTGAAATATGGGAATTCTTTGATCACATTTGTTAACATATTTAACATATTCTAAATTGCTGATGAATATATAATCTCAAGAGATTTTTTTTTAAATACTAATAAGTTAAATTAGACAGGCAAATAAAAACTTAAAAAATCTTTTAAGTAACCATATGCAGTCATGTTATCTTTCACATTAGAATGGACTACAAGTATTAAATATTTTAAAGCATTCCCCCGACTACCTTTAAAAAGAACAACTGCTGTGTATTTAAGTCAAAGCACTTAACTAAAGGTGATTTTTAAAAGTGAATAAAGTTTTATTAAATGACTAAATACAAACTGAATGAAGGTCATACTCCTCAGTCTGTTTTGGTGGTCTTCTGGAAGAGTTTAGAGATGAGCTGAGTCGACGCCTTTTGGCTGATATTCCATCACTATCACTGCTGAGGTTTTCCTGTTGAACTTGGCATTGAACCTCAATGATTTCCATACTTTCCATTTTTAAGGCTGCATAAAGTGGGCCCAACAAATACTGAGAAAGTAAAAATAATTTCAAAAACTATGCCTTAGGAAATATGTTATTCAAAGACTGCAAAAATTCATTAGGTTATAAGTTTTCTATTAGGGTAAACTATTTTCAGAGTCTCATCAGGTAAAACAAAGACCTAAGTTAACCTATATAATTTCACAACCTATAAATAGACATATATATGATTCTGTATCTAGAACTATGGTTCTATAGTCCTAAAAGTCTTAAGACAAATTCTCTCTAACCTGTTTTTCCCTCTGTCAAAATGCTACAAAGAGGGGCGCCTGGGTGGCTCAGTTGGTTAAACATCTGTCTTCGGCTCAGATCATGATCCTAGAGTCCTGGGATCAAGCCCCGCATTGGGTTCCCTCTGCCCCTCCCCCTGCTCCTACTTGCTCTCTCTCTCTCTCTCTCTCAAATAAATAAATAAAATCTTTGTTTAAAAAATGCTACAAAGAAAAACTCTCTAAGAGAATTACTAACCTCTTTCATACTACAAATCCAGCAAGGTATAATATTTACTCAAGTTACTGTATATTTTATTGTACTGCCTGTCTCTCACAGCCTGCATAATTTGGCATGACTAGTACTATGTACCCACAGGTTTTCTAAATGTGATTGAATATAACCTGTCAAAGATAAAATCTAGGTGAGTGCTTGAAGATTTTGCAATTAAGTTGATAACTGGTCCCCTTTTAATTAATAATGCACTAAACATGCTTACACTTCACAAATTCTATTTTAAAATATCCTACTCCATTGGCAGTTCATTACCAAATTAGTGAAATCCTTCTCAAATCAAAGTAAAAGTCCATAGTAAGGAGCCAAAGTGGATTGTGAAAAAAACTCATTCCATTCTGAATATACGTTATTAAAGATATTCTATTTTCTCATTGTTACATCTTACACATATGCATACACTTACATTATAAACAAAATACATAATACTTATCAAGTAACCTTAAAAATGACTTACCTCTGCATCTACCTGAAATCCAAGCACATCCACAAGAACTCTACAAATGTTTCTCACATAAACCTTCCTGACTTGTAAAGCAGATTCATACCCAGCTGGCACATATTTAAGGAAATACTGCAGTAAGTGGCACAAAGCTGCTTTTAGCAAATCAGACTTAAGCTGCATAAGCACACCATCTTCAAACATGACACAGAGTTTTTCCAGCAGCATATTTAAATAGACAGGTTCAATATTTCTATAAGCTTCTGCTTCAAAGGGGAACAGTGTTTTTATCAGCTTTGATAATGGTTCTTCATAGAGTTTCAACTGGTCAGCATCCATTTCTACAAGATGTTTTAATAATGCCAAAAATGAGCTGAAGAAAGTGCTTGCTGGTTGTGCTGGTAATCCACCAAGCTCAAAGAGTTCAGTTAAAAGGCTAATTGCTAAGGATTTAATTTTTGGACTACCATACTCTAGCAGAACACAACCTATCCGCCAAAGAAAGAGTTCTTGCCTTCTAAAAAACACAATTGCAACAATACGAATAAGAACTGTTAATAAAGTGACTTCAATAAATTCTAAATTTTGCATGTTCACCAATTGCAAAGGAGCTGGTTGTAAATATCCCATATGTTCATCTAGTTGACTTAAAAATCGGCTAACTACCACTGGCCATTCCACAAAGTGTCCCATTGCATTTTTTCTGTGGAGGTAAATCACATCTTCAAAAAGATGTAGTAATTCCTTTGTCAGTACTCCAAAAATTGCAGGGCTCTTGCTTTTAAAAAGAAATAATAATGAGCAGATAACTTCACAGATTTTCTTATGTAACATATGACAGGATGGAGTTGCTGCAATCCGCAGAAGTCTTGTTATGATCCAATTACTGAATTCTTTGAAATAAACAAAAAAGATATTAAATAAGTACATCAGAAATGCTAACTAATTTGCTAAATCCTTGATGATTCGTTTTTATTTTTTTAAGATTTTATTTATTTATTTGACAGAGAGACACAGCGAGAGAGGGAACACAAGCAGGGGCAGTGGGAGAGGGAGAAGCCTGCTTCCCCTCCTGACCCTCCCCCCTGCTAGTGCTCTCTCTCAAATGAATAAAAAAAATCTTTAAAAAAATAAAATTAAAAAGTGTGGCAAAGAATATAGACAAACAGGTATTTATAATCCAGCTTAGTAACCACTATGATAGAAGAAATGCAGAACACAGTACAAACAGAGCATAAAGAAGGAACAACTAAGCCAGTGCTAGGGCAGGCAGTCAGGAGTTCTGGTCAGAAATTAGACAATAAGGAAATACAATGAGTAAAAGCATGGATTTTCCAATAAAACTTTGTTTACAAAAACAGGCAGCCAGCCCATGGGCCACAGATTGCTAATGCCTGATCTAGAAGAGATTATCAAAAACAGAAAAAAGAAAACTGCTCATGTGTTCAATGGCAAATAAATTTGATTATTTCTGTTCCATCCTGGGTACCTACTTCATAACAAAAGAAAACAATAAAGATGCATAAAACAAAACTAACCAGTACCATTTTGCTCCCTTAAATTAGAGCAAATCTGATGAAAATATGTATAAAATGTATGTTATATTTCAGAAAAGCAGAAGAGGGTAGATTTCATAAAACCAATTGCAAATGAATGCACAAATAGCAGGACTTACCAATACAACTGCCTTTGGCCTCATTTTGCCCTTGACTTCCATTCACATTTACAAACATAAGTGGGGAGGACTTCATTATATGCTGGATGAAATCAAGCAACATCACAGAGGTTGGCTGAGAGTCAGTTTTCTTTACAAGTTCTAGAGCAACTAAAATGATAAAAGATTCATTTTAAAGAGTCATGACAAATTAGATGGCAGTCCTTTTGTTAAAAAACTAGACTTTGGTGACCAGAACTGTGTCCAGTATAGTATTCATGATAAATTGATGGGACTAAACTCTACAATCCTATCTAATTTTAAATGTTTAATAAACATGTACATTCATCTATTATACACCCATTCACCAAATATAGATTAAAGGCCTACAATATGCTTGGCACTGTACTAAAATCTGAGTGGGGAAAAAAACTTCACCTGATTAGGTGAGAGAATCAGACAAACTAATAATTATAATATGGTATGTTAACTGCACCAATCCACAATAGAGGAAGCAAGTGTCTGCGAAGATGCTGTGAAGGAACTGATTCCTAGATGATGAGAATTTGGTCAGAGAGGGGAAGGGCAAGTGGTCTAAACAGGGCCAGTACCATATGCAAACACATCTTGCAAGTATTCAGTAGTCCTTTATTATTTTTCAGCAACTCTTAATTTCATAGATTGAAAAAAGGCTGACTATTTTAAGTCATAATATCTGTGCCAAATTTGGAAGTAAGTTTATATACTATGAGCCAAATGCTATGCTATATTACCCCTTCCATGTAATTTTAACAGATATGACAAATGTGACACCATCTTGCCAAGTTGGTAATATTTGTCTTTTAAATTGCCACAAACAGGAAACAGTTGCTTCAACAACTCACAAGATCTTATTACCTCCCACAAAGTCACCAACTCTTAGAGTTTTTAAACGGCATTTGTTTCTCAACCACTAGTGTAAGACCTAGCTACAACAGGGTCCACATCATTAGAAATGGCCAACTATTTTTTATCTATTCTAATAGCTTAGATCAAAGAACACCATAGCAAGCAGCAGAAAATCTAGATAACAAGCAGGAAAACAGAATTACTTTAAATGCCTAAATCACATTATGTAATAAGTTGCTTGAAAATAGTAACTATCATAAATACTAACTTTACATTTAAAACTACATGGAGAAAAATGCTAGCATAATGCTGTATATATGGAAAAGAAAACAATTTAATTCATAAAATTTATATAAGAAATAACTGTTTCTTACCAACATTTACATCTGTAAGTATTCGGTCAATGAACTGACATAAAATTTGTCTTGGCTTCTGTACAACTGTATTATAGTCCTCTGGACTGGCACTAAAATACAAATAAAAAGTTTTTAAGCCTTAAAGAGACTCACAATTTCATTTGTAAAAAATTCTCGAAATTTGAATTTATCAAATGTATTTAGTTTTAATGTTAACATTCATTGTATCCTTCTGTTTAAAAATGAAAGAAAAATTTAAATACACATTACTGATTTAGAAGGGAAAAAACATGCTAAATGACACCAGAGGCACCCAATATGCAAAATCTAGACCTGTCCTGCCCAATATAGTAGCCATTATTTATGTAGCTATCGAGCACTTGAAATGTGGTTAGTCCAAATTGAAATGTGCTTTAAGTATAAAATATACATTGGATTTTAAATATTTGGTACCAGAATATCTCATTAATAATTTTATATTAATTACATGTAGAAATGATATCTAGAGATACTGAGTTATATAAAATATATTATTGAAAATTACTTTCACCTATTTTCTTTTTACTTTTTGTCATGTGGCTACTAGAAAAAATTTTTTTAAAAGATTTTATTTATTTATTTGACACAGAGAGAGAGAGAGACAGTGAGAGCAGGAACACAAGCAGGGGGAGTGGGAGAGGAAGAAGCAGGCTTCCCACCGAGCAGGGAGCCCGATGCAGAGCTCGATCCCAGGACCCTGGGATCATGACCTGAGCCGAATGTAGATGCTTAACCGAATTAGCCATCCAGGCGCCCCTAGAAAATTTTTAATTATATATGTGGCTTGCATTTTATTCATATTGAGCAGTGTTGACCTAGACTTTCGGAAAATCTACAGAACACAGTTTCTTCAACAAATGAATTAAGGGGAAAAAAAAAAGAGGAGAAACCTATAACAAAGACTTAAGAGCCATATCAATCAATTACAATCTATGATCCTACAATGGATTCTGATAAAAAAACTAAAAAAAGCAAAACAAAACAAAACAAACAGCTCTGATAACTGCTATCTCTTTGACTTTGGTTCTTCAATTTCTGTGACTCAGTTTCTTACTGAATGGTGATAAAATGTACTCCATTCTACATCATGGAGACACTGTGAGACTGAATAGGCTTGAATGAAGCAGTTGCAGTAAGAAACTCATGACAGTTAACTATTATTATACAATTCTCTATGGGTCAATTTTTTCGGTTCTTTCCCTTAGAATATCCACAATTAAATGAAATGAAAGGTAACATAAGCTCTGGTGATGTGAGAGACTATAAATAAATCCAAGATACTATCATTTTACTAACAAGTCTCATAAAGGAAGAAAAAAGAGGGAAGAAAAGTATTAATTAGTTAATTCTACATTAAAACAAGATGGGGAAAAAAATATTAGCTTCACATTGAGCCTGAAAGATGAAATCTGTACATCAATTTTCTAAAATGAGCATGTGTATTCACGTTACTTTATAAAATGTTAACACAGGGGCACCTGGGCGGCTCAGTAGGTTAAGCGGCTGCCTTCGGCTGGGGTCAGGATCCCAGGGTCCTGGGATTGAGTCCCGCATCGGGCTCCCTGCTCAGCAGGGAGCCTGCTTCTCCTTCTCCCTGCCTCTCTGCCTACTTGTGCTCTCTCTCTCTCTGTCAAATAAATAAAATCTTTAAAAAAAATAAATAAAATAAAATGTTAACACAAAGTATGCTTGCAACATTCATGAAAAGTGAAAAAAACACAAAAACAGAATAATTCAGTTAAGACAAGTGTGGTTCCTTCATTTATCCTCTTATTTATGTGATTAAGACTAAATATCCTTGTATGGCCAACAAGTGGAGATGAACACAACTGCACCCCAAAAAGAAAGGAATTAAATATCCCATGGATATTATATATATATATATCTATACATATACATGTATAGATATATATATATATAATGTCAGTTCTGACTTTGTGTGCTAAGTTTTCAAACAGCTTAAAAAATTGGGAAGCAATTATTCCGACTGATGGTTCAACTGCAGTTGTGGTACAAGCCCATTTTTTTCTTGTTCGCAGTGGGTTACAACTTAAAAAAAAAAAAAAAAGCAAGCAAAACAAAAACCCTGCCTTCCTTAGGCCTGGTTGAGGGAAAGTGCGAGTGTGCTGAAGGGGGATAGCAACCATCCACATCCCTCCCCTCCCTTCAGGTGGGATACTGGTTTACCTGATTTTACTGTTCGGTTCACAGAAAACAGGCTTTTGCAAATGAAACAATATTATTTTCACATTTTGGCAACATTCTGTGCACATTTATATCTTGTGGACGTTGTAGCAGGTCCCTAGAGTTTCTGACTAAAATAACGGATTGGGGACTGGATGGCCAACAGGAAATGGGTCCTATCTTCAGAACGACCTATGGTTTCATTCTGAAGAAAGAAACCAACTGCCTTTTCTAGCAATTGGCCTTCCTTGCACAAAATGAGAACCAGTGATTTTTCTTCTAAAAGAGGCAGTTTGGGTCCAAAGGTAAAGCTAAAAACCCAATTCCTTCCGGAGCGATCACAAAGAATAGAAACTGGGGAAAGTTCATGGGTCAAGTCCCTCATCTCAGGAAAGAAGTTTCCGGGAAGCAAATGAGTGAAGAAAGTGATCAGAAGGGGCCGTTCCCTCCAGCTGCAGGGGACAAGCCCCGGGGAAGGGACGAGCTCCCGGGCGCCGCTGAGGTATGGGGTCGGCGAACGCCTCTCGTTCCCTGGACCGAACGCCGGGAGTCTGCGGCGACGCCTCGCATATTTTTAACCACCTCTCTGAGGGAGAAGTGCTGAAATGAGTCTCGAAACATCCACAAAGGCCGGGGTTGAAGGTTTCGGAGCCGGCACGCGCGCGGCTGGTGAGGGAGAGCACGTGAGACGCCATCCTGGCCGGGTGGAGAAAAACGCGGGACCGGGAGCGGGAGCGGCCGGGCCTGGCCCTACCTGCCCAACTCCCGCAGAGCGGGGATCATAGACGCCAACTCCAGGCCGTGGTCGCCCATGCTGAGAATGCGCCGCACTCATCAACGGCGCCGACGCGGACTCCCGGCGTCTCCCCAGCTACCTCTACCGGGAAGGCGCGGCGCCGGACGGTGCCCCGCCAGGCCCAAAACTCCTCCCGGAAGCCGCTGCTGGTCCTACCCCGTTAGGCCCCATTCTTTTTCCTTGTAGGACCCGGGGGAAGCCGAGAGGCCGAAAAGGGGTGGAGCAAAGCAGGCGGAGCGCGCGTCGGTCAAGTTTCCCACTGCGTCTCGGGTTTAGGGCGGAACGAGGGGCGGGCGTGATTCGCGACGAGTTTTGGTTTTTACCCGCATCCTTTGCTACAGCTTGGGAGGTTCAGGGAGGCAAGATCCCCGGTTCTGGAGAAGAAACAGGCTTGACGGGCGCTAGCCCTGCCTCCCTCGCATCACAAAAGTGAGAACTGAGATAATTCCCAGAGTTTGTGTGCAAACTTGGCAGCTGCAGGCGGTGAAATTAAGATCACAAAGTCCTCTCCTGGTTCACAGGAGGAGAAATGTTTTCAAGGCCTGGGCAGCTCGGATTGCCACCCATACTCCCAGAGGACTAGAATAAGGAAACACCTCGTGCCTATCACCCAACTTCAATAATTGTTGCATATGGCCAGTCTTTGTTTCATCTATAACTACCCTTCCCATTTCCCCTCTTCCTAATTGGATTATTTTTTTTTTTAAGATTTTATTTATTTATTTGACAGAGAGCACAAGCAGGGGGAGTGGCAGGCCGAGGGAGAGGGAGAATCAGGCTCCCTGCAGAGCAGGGGGAGCCCGATGTGGGACCTAATCCCAGGACCCTGGGATGATGACCTGAGCCAAAGGCAGTGGCTTAACCAACTGAGCCACTAACTGGACAGGCGCCCCCTAATTGGATTATTTTAAAGAAAATCTCCAACATCAAATAAATTTATCTATAAATACTTAAGTTTATAGCTCTTAAAGATAAGGATTCAATTCTGCCTCGAAATAATCAAACCAATCTACTTCCCTCCAAATCCCATTACCACCATGCTAGTTTCAGACTATCACAATTGTTCCCACAGCGTTCTAGTTTACCTCTCTTCCTTTAGGCTTTTCCTTCCAATCTATTCTCTACACTGGACCCTCCCAACTTTTTCTTTTTTTAATCGTACAACAGTATCATTGGAATTTTTAAAATATATGCATCCTAATGTGTGCATATTTATTAACCACATATATTTATTTATTTATTTATTTTAAAGATTTTATTTATTTATTTGAGACAGAGAGAATGAGAGAGAGAGAGCACATGAGAGGGGGGAGGGTCAGAGGCAGAAGCAGGCTCTCTGCCGAGCAGGGAGCCCGATGCGGGACTCGATCCAGGGACTCCAGGATCATGACCTGAGCCGAAGGCAGTCGCTTAACCAACTGAGCCACCCAGGCGCCCAACCACATATATTTAGCACTATGTTATAGTATACATAAAATGCGTGATGATGTAAATTTGGACAAAATACAACCGTTGATTGGTGTCTGTATTCCTCTCACTGCCTTTTTATCATTAGGGGGAGTGGAATGTGGGGGGGTAGAGAGTGAAGCAGGAAGCAGAGAGGCTGAGGTAGGTGGGTCCCCTAGTGTCCTTGAGACCTTGGTATTTCCTAAGCCCAGTGTCTAATTAAAAGTTGATAAGGGCGCACCAGCAATGCCTTGGAGGTTTCAGCCTGCATGTGTATAGAATGGTCCCCATTGATGATTAAACTTGGGGGGGGAAATGACCACCAGGTGGCACCACAGCCCAAATAAGAGGAAAATGGACTTGTCCGTTCTCAGATGCCCAAACTCCTGGCTGCCCAGCTCTGCAAGTTCCATCATAATGCATTGGATTTTTAAAATTTCATTTATGGTATTTTGTCAGGATTTTACTGTATAATTCACACTATAAAATATACACTAAAATAGAAATCTTTTTTTTTTTTTAAAGATTATTTATTTATTTGTCAGAGAGAGAGAGCACATACAAGCAGGGGGAGCGGCAGGGGTAGGGGACAGGCAGAAGGAAAAGCAGGCTCCCCACTTAGCAAGGAGCCTGATGCTGGACTCCATCCCAGGGCCCTGGGATCATGACATGAGCCGAAGGCAGACACTTAACCGACTGAGCCACCCAGGTGTCCCTAAAATAGAAATCTTAAGGAAATGAGATAAAAATATAGATTTCAATTTTCTTTCTACACTGGAATGGACTGAAATATATACCTCCTTGGTACATGGTGCTCGAAAATTTGCATTTTAAATAATTTTTAATTTTTGTTTCTCCTAGTTTTATCGAGAAATAAATGACATGTTACTGCATGTTACTGTATAAGGTTAAGGCATACAGCATGATGGTTTCATTTGCATATATTATAAAATGATTACCATAATAGGTTCAGCTAACATCCATCTTCTCATATAGGGACAATAAAAAGAAAGAAGAATAAAAGAAAAAAATATTTTCTCCTTGTAATGAGAACTCAGGATTTACTCTCTTAACTTTCCTATACACCGTACAGCAGTATTAGCTATAGTCATCATGTATTCATTATATCCCTAGTACTTATTTATCTTGTAACTAGAAGTTTGTACTTTTTGGCCACATTGGTCCAATTCCCCTCCTACTACCTCCTACCTCTGATAACCACAAATCTGACCTCTTTTTCTATGAATTTGGTGGGATTTTTTGGTTTGTTTTATATTCCACATGTAAGTGAGATCGTATGGTATTTATCTTTCTCTTTCCTGCTTATTTCACTCAGCATAATGCCTTCCAGGTCTCTCCATGTTGTCAGAAATGGTAGGATTCCCTCTTTTTGTGGTTAAATAATATTCCATTATATATATATACATATATATATCCATTATATATATACTCATATATATGTCACAATTTCTTTATTCATTCATCCATTGATGGATACTTAGGTTACCTGTTTCCATATCTTGTCTATTGTAAATAATGCTACTATGAACATAGGAGTGCAGATATCTTTTCAAGTTAGTGTTTTTATTAACTTAGGATGTATTCCCAGAAGTGGAATTATTGGATTGTATGGTAGCTCTATTTTTAATTTTTTGAGGATCCTCCATAGTCTTTTCCATAGTATCTGTACCAATTTACAATCCCACCAACAGTGCACAAGGCTTCCCTTTTCTCCATATCCATGCCAGTATTTGTTATCTCTCATCTGTTTGATAATAGCCATTCTAACAGGAATGAAGTGATGTCTCACTGTGCTTTAAATTTACATTTCCCTAATGACTAGTGATGTTGAACTTCTTTTCAGGTACCAGTTGGCCTTTCATATATCTTCTTTGGAGAAATATTTATTCAAGTCTTTTACCCAATTTTTAATTGGGTTGTTTGTTTTCTTGTTATTGAGTTGTATGAACTCTTTCTATACTTTGGTTATCAACCCCTTATCAGATATATGGTTTGCAAATATGTTTCCCAATTTGTAGATTGTCTTTTCACTTTGTTGATGGGTTTTTTTGCTATGCAAAAGCTTTTTAGTTTGATTTAGTCCCACTTCTTTGTTTTCTATTTTGCTGCTTATGCTTTAGATGTCATATCCAAATATCATTACCATGATCCATGTTAAGAAGCTTTGTTTCTATGTTTTCTTCTAGGAGTTTTATGGTTTCAGGTTTTACGTTTAAATCTTTAATCCACTCCAAGTAAATTTTTGTAAGTGGTATAAGATATGGATCCAGTTTCATTCTTTTACATGTGAATATCCAATTATCCCAGCATCATTTATTGAAGAGATTATCTTTTCTCCGCTGAGTCTTCTTGGCTCCCTTGTCAAATATTAGTTTGCCATATGTGCTCAGATTTATTTCTGCACTCTTGATTCTGTTCCATTGGTCTATTTGTCTGTTTTCAGGCCAGTACCATTCTGTTTGTATGACTATAGCTTTAGTTATAGCTTGAAATCAGGAAATGATACCTTCTGATTTGTTCTTCTTTCTCATTATTTTTTTGGTTATTCAGGTCCTTTGGTGGTTCCATATAAATTTTAGGAGTGTTTTCTTGTTTGTTTGTATACTTCTGTAAAAAATGCTACTGGAATCTTGATAGGGATTGCATTGAATCTATAGATGGCTTTTGGTAGTATTGACATTTAACAATATTAGTTCTTCCAATCCACGAACGAACACAGAATACCTTTCCATTTCTTTGTGTCTTCTTCAGTTTCTTTCATCGGTGTTGTAATTTTTAGTATAGAGATCATTTCCTCCTTAGTTAAATTTATTCCTAAGTATTTTACTGTTTTTGATGCTATTGTAAATGGGATCTATTCCTTTATTTCTTTCTCAGAAATTTTATTGTTAGTGTATAGAAATGTTACTGATTTTTTTATGTTAGTTTGGTATCCAGCAACTTTACTGAAATCATTGATTAGATAAAAGTTTTTTGTTGGATCTTTAGGATTTTCTATATATAATATCATGTCATCTGCAAATAGAGACAATTTTACTTCTTCCTTTCCTATTCTGATACCTTTTTTTTTTCTTGCCTCATTGCTTTAGCTAGGACTTCCAGTACTATGTTGAATAGGAGTGGTGCAAGTGGACACCCGCTCTTGTTCCCACTCTTAGAGGAAAAGATTTCATCCTCTCACCGTTGAGTATGATGTTAACTGTGGGCTTATCATATATGAACTTTATTACATTGAGATATGTTCCTTCTATGCCTACTTTGTTAAGAGTTTTTATCATGAATGGATGTTGAATTTTGTCAAATGCTTTTTCTGCATCTATTAAGGTGATCATATGATTCTTTTCTTTTGGTCTATTGATATGATGTAGCTCGTTGATTGATATGTGTATGTATGTGTATGATATGTGTCTTTGCATCCCAAGGATAAATCCCACAAGATCATGGTGAATGATTCATTTAATGTGGTGCTGAATTTGGTTTAGTAGTATTTTATTGAGAATTTTTCCTTCTATATTTATCAGGGGTATTGGCTTGTAGTTTTCTTTTCTAGTAGTGTTTTTCCTGGTTTTGGTATCAGGATAATTTCAGCTTCATAAAATGAGTTTGGCAGTGTTCCCTCCTCTTCAATTTTTTGGAAGAATTTGAGAAGTATTCGTGTTAATTTTTCTTTAGATGTTTGGTAAAATTCACCA